CACGGTTAGCGACTTAAATGCAATGAAATCGGAATTAATAATACGGAATGCGATTTTGGGAAAAGGTTTTATGAAGTTGTCTTTTACTTTTAGTATTGAAAATTATAATTTTTTTTAAACTGATATATAAACACGGCTAAACACTCACGTATATTCGTCCGGTGGCGGCACCGACTAGTTTCGAGCACATCGGGGGCCCTTCATCAGGATGAGTGGTACTGGTATTATTTCGCGGACGCGGCCCTCAGCTCACTGACCGTACTCTCTCACCGGACACGTATATACGTGAGTATTTAGCCGTGTTTATATATCAGTTTAGTATAATGTCTCATGAAAGTTTGAATAATTTAATTTTTTAATTAATTTAAATATAAATACAATAAAATCTCCTTATAAATAATATTCTATCAGATCTAAATAAATAAAATATAATATATCAGTGCGAACTCGAGTGACACCACTAAATGGCAAGATTTCGACATTTCAACTTAAAAATAAATATTGTTTTTTTTTCTTCATATATGAATTTGATTTATCGAGTTCGCATTTATCACATAAATAAAATCAGCTAATGGTAATTTCCACATCGTGTGGTTACCACAGTTACTAAGTTTCACCATAGTTACTGAGAGTTATCACAGTTACCGAATAACACCATAGTTACTGGATGTTACCATAGGTACTGAGTGTATCCACAGTTACTGAGTGTCATTACAGTTACCAAGTGTTACTACAGTTACTGCGAGTCATCACAATTACCGATTAACACCACAGTTACTGAGTATCACAACAATTACTGAGTAATACCACAGTTACTGAGAGTCAACACAGTTACCAAATAAGGTAGTTACTATTTTACCTTAGTAACTGGGTATTACCACAGTTATTGAGTGTCAACGGTGGTGGTATCATTGCGCAGTATCCGCGGCAGTTCTCCGGCACCAAGTCGTATGCCGTAAGGTCGTAAGTGATATATCAGATAGTCCAACACATACATCTCCTCAGGGTTCACGTAATGGAATGACACCGCGTGGTCCGAACAACAATCAAGACCCTGCAAATTAAAGAAATCGCTTTTAATCTTTAGGAATTACTGTAAAAATAAGCTCTTTCCACAAATATCCTAACTTTTTCAAAACAATTCCAACAATAATTACTTATTTCTCTAAATGATAACAATTTGGTCCTTCGAGCCGGACTTTAAGTAAAATAACTAACTTTGTATGTAAATAATGTAATAAAACATATAAAAATCATACCTCATCAGAGGGGTAGTATATGTACTGCCAATACCAGAAGTTCTTGTCCTTGTTGGGGAAGAGATGGTGTTTGGGCACGAAGGGGAAGAAGCGGCCGCGGTGCTGCGAGTCTCGTGAGTCCATCGCTTTCACACCGATGTGCTCAAGGCAGATGCCTGAAAATGACAAAATTAACCTTAGGGTTACCGACTTGCCTGAACAAAAATTATTTGAGAAAAAAACACTTTGCTGCAATAGTTTTTAAATATTATAACTCTGTTAGTGATTCGTTGAGACGATTTATTCACACATCTATACATATTAATAAAATCGGAGTGTCTGTATGTATAAAAAAATATACGAAAATCTAATTTCTAAAATGTTTGTCCGTCTGTCTGTCTACAAGGCCGCCTTTGATTCCAATAATCTTCGGAACGACTGAACCTATTTTGACAGGACTTAGACGAAAGGTAGCCGATGCAGGCGGGCATGTAGGCTACTTTTTTAAATTATACGCTAACATATGTCTGTCTTGTGTACGGTAAGGTAGTAGGACAGTAATTACCCATCTCAGCGTCCTCAGCGCCGTGGTCGGAGGACTTGCAGAGATGCGGGGAGGGCAGGCCGCGCCGCACGAAGCGCTCCAGCGCGCCGCGGCTCAGCACGTACCCCGCACCCCCGCTCATGTAACCCTGGTATAACATTACTTAATAATTAGACCCTTTTTCCACTAAACGATCAGCTTTTTCTATAGTAGTCTTGTATGTGGCATAGCAGCCACGTGACTAGACACGCTAGTGGAAAATAGGTTTAAAGGTAGTTGATTATTACCGTTTAAGGCATTGTAACGCGTGCAGTCTTTGTCAATAGCTGGTATAGAAGTTGTCATTCATATTAACGGCTCAGATCTTCCCAGAATCGTAGGGGGAAAAGAGAAGACGGCCTTGAACCGGCAATATATTTGAAAAGACGTATACACGGATAGAAAGCTGTGCGTGTGACTGACCTGAGTTGTGAACGGCTTGAAGCGGCATCCAAAGTACATAGGTTCATTGCTGTCGTAGTCTGCCAGCATGTAGCGTAAGTTCTCTACCACCACGTACCTACATCACACCAAAAGGTAATTTTTGTATATATTATAAGGTGGTAAAAAAGCGAGCGACAACCTCGATTCGCCGGAATAGCGAACCGCTGCCCATAGATATCCGTAATTGCGAAGCATTGCTTACTTTAATAACCAACGGAAGAGGGGACGCACAGATAGAGAATGTTTCCCCTTTCTACGCATTTCCTCCTCCTTCAAATATACTTCTCTTTCTTGTCCTTTCCTTATGAGAAAAGAGTGGAAAGGAAAAGACTAAATTGCGGCCTTCGGCATCACACAATCGAGGATATTTTAATAACTTTTAGCAATTTTATTTAACACAAGCGGTCGCTCGTGGCACCGACCGTAATTATAAAGAAATAATTAGCCTACGTGTTCCTCCAGACTATGCTCTATATGTATGCCAAATTAAATCAAGATCCGTTCAGCCGTTCTGGAAATACCTTCAAACAAACATCCATCCATCTAAACATTGGCATTTTTAATATTAGTAAGAAGTAAGATTATCGTTTGGTTATATATATTTAAAAAGATTAACTCTTTAAAGATAGAGACGCAGTGTACGGAACATTTAGAGATGACAATATCCTTGTATTATTGCTTGTCGATGTATTTCTCAGCGTCAGATAAGAAAACAATGGTGTTTATCGACGAGGGCCGAGACGAATCTGAATTTGTTGTATTTGTGATGCTAAATATGCCTTTTGTTAACAACCAAATATAAATCAATATTGACGCACACGGAGGTGACAGAAAACAAAGTTTTACCGAAGGTTTCTAAGACCAAAATGCACGTTTAAAATATGTTACCGCAGTGGAAATGTACGATTCTCCTTATTATTTACTTTTGCGATAGCTAAGCTGTAAAAGTTAATTAATTTAATATTACTGTAAGAATATTTCTTGAGTTTCCATTCACGATAAAGGTCAACGCACATTAACCATGTCACAAATCTAAACTCACGTGTCATCATCAGCTTTGAGGAACCAGTCTGCGTCTCTCCTGTGGTGTTCGTACACGTATCTGAAGGCGGCCTTGGTCTTCGCCCATAGGTGGTCGCGGCCTTCCTCCACTGGCAACTTCACTGCTGGCAGCGAACTGTCTGACATTATAAAATGAACCTTGTTTTCAATGCAATAAAGATTATTATGCTACTAGTTACTAAAAAAAATACTGTCACATCGTCTAGCAATTTTAGAGAAAAAAGGTGTTTCTCTCTCTTTTACTCAGACCACCTCGCTTTAAATTACCTTCAACCGTACTCATAAACAGGAGTTTGTTACACCGCTTTCCCCACGTGGCTTTAACATGTGCTGCCTTCTTCTCGTGATTGCTGGGTTGCGTCATCACCCAGCATAACACGCGTACTCGCCGCGACAACTCCTCGGCAATAGACCTGTCCTCATCTCTATGAACTGGTTCTTCACTCCCATGCTCTATTATACTAGGTAACGGATGCTTTTCAAGATCTCGCGCTGCATCTCTGTAAATAGATTTAACGTTTCCTTTTCGAAGTATCTAATTGGGCGACTGCTATTCAAAAGTTACAGTCAAAAGAGGCTACACTGGACCAGCAATCGTGCAGGTTAGTCGCGTTAGTGGAAAAGGAATTTTAAAATCATCGCTCATTAAACACACGGATATGGAAAATAGTCTTCGAATAATATAGTAAGGTCCGCAATGAGGTATGTTGGTCATTTTTTTGTTGTTAAATTAATCAAATTTATCTAGATGGACAATACCAGAGTTGGTGGAGGCGTGACAAATGAGCGATTACCTTAAAAATCCAATTTGGTTAAACTTGTTAGTAGCATATAAGCAATTTTTTATTTCATGTTAAGAAAATTATTTTCTCTATACTAAAGTATTAAGTCATGCCATTTACAATATAAAATAGGTACTTAAATCGATTATTTACATAAAACAAAAGAAACCCATTATATATAATACAAATACGATTGCCATGCATTTATTTAGTTAACATCTGTGAAATTGTGTTTGCGTATAACTTTAATAATAGCCTACGTAATTCCTTAATAATATTATAAATGTAAAAGTAACTTTGTCGCACTTTCGCGCCAAATCTACAGAACCGATTGAAATGAAATTTGTTACACATATAATCTTGACCCTGAGAAAGGACATAGGCTACTTTTTGATATCCAAAAGGTTTGTAAGTGGTTTATACGAAGTCAAACCTAAGTAACCAACAATCCAAGGGACCACGATTCTCTTTATAGAGGTCTCTCTAATCTGCAACTCTACACAAAGTGCATTCGCTCTGCAGCGAATTCAGAACGAATTTCAAAAATTTATAGAACTGACACGTGGCAATGACGTGACTAATCTAAAGTTATTATCAGTTCTATACATTTTTGAAGTTCGTTATGGAAGCGCTGCGAAGCCAATGCACTTTGTCTAGCCCCTGAGTTTCTCCCTCAGGGAGGTCCTGCGGTACCGGACAAAGCTCTCGCTTATAAATATTCCTCGCTTATCCTGGTTCGACTGTATATTACAATAGCATTATTCGTATCAACAAAAGTAAACACTAATTACTGGCAATTTATAGCAATTAGGTGAGCAAATGGTTCATTATGATTATTTAGTCATGGTTGAAAGTGGACTAAATGACAAATAACTAAAGAACCATTTTTAATTAATTACGTTGATTAATTAGGAAACGTCTGGATATTATCAGAAATGTGTTTCGGCTACGGAAGTGCAAAAACTTTTACTTACAATTGATTGTTAAAATGTAAACTGGATATTCACAAAATGGTTTTTATTTAACTAATTATTTTGATAACGTACATTAACATGTATTTCCTGTTCTTATCATTAAATATACTGAATAATTGAAATACAAACCAATATTTTATATACGATTTAATTTTATAACTATTAAAACTAGAGCACAAAACGCTAAATAAACCCATATTTATGAATGTTACGTATACCTTTGATTCAATGAAAATTGATTCAATGGAAAAAAGAAAAAAAATGTGATCCATAGACTAACAGTCAAATGGCCTAATGACTTGATAAGTTTGGAACAAAACTGGATTGAGTGGTCTATGTCTAGCTTTAGAAAGATTGATATTATGATGAGTTTAGAGAATCATTTTACACGTAATTGTTGAGGAAAGAAAATAGCAAATAACACATGTAACATTGTTTGTCATTTAAACACAAGCACATTAAAACTTTAAGCAGAATTTATTCGCTATGTTCGTGCAAAGCCATGCAAATATATCATCCATATTACCTGTTCGTAGGTGTGTACCAAGCGACCTCTCTCGTGAATCCTGAGGAGGTTAGCAGTATGTACGCGAAACTAAACCCGGCAGATATCCCAATCACCAATGTTAGCACAAACCGCCGACCCATCACCCGGCCCTCCGCCTGCACAAATCCGGACATCGCGCTTTACAGACACAACGAAGTACAACTCTTTAAACTTCCACAGGTGTAAACAGCTCTATAATTCCGTCGTCGAACGTCCATATGTGTTAAAAAAAACTTGGTGACCACTAATCCTAATATCAACTCTTTAAACTTCCACAGGCGAAAAAGTTCTTTTAAATTCCTCCCGAAAAACTATGAACTCGTGAAACTTGAAAAAAATATTTTCTTTAAACTTTATTTTTTAATTTAATTAAATACAATTGAAAGGGATAACGTACGACGTGCTCTCAGCGGTAATTCGTAACACAATGCGTTCGCGTATTGATGCCGCGTTGGGTGCGATTTTTGAAGCACAGATGTTTTGATCCACCAAAGGTTCATTTTAAATAATAAACACATCTGTATTTGCCTCATTAGCTACGCATTGTACGCTTATTATTGTTAAAACCTTTTAAAGTATTATTATATAATAAAATTGAAGTGTCTGCATGTAAGTAATATCGAGAAAAAGATATTCCGTACACGTATTTGCGTTGCTCATAACGAAAAACCAATTTTTAAATTTTTGTCTGTCTGTCCGCCTGTCTGTGCTTCTTTCGCGTAATCTCCGAACTGCACAGATTTTTACAGGACTTGTATCAGGAAGCTGATGCTCGCAGACATACTATAGACTATTTTTTTTTAATTCTGCGCTGAAGTCGCGGGCAGCCGCTAGTTTTAAATAAATAGAGCTATAATTAGTTGTAACTAAGTATACCTACGTTAAATGCAAGTTCAGAATTATCGGTATTTAAGATAATGACATTATTTAAACAGTTTTCTTATCATTTCCACGCTTCACTACATTCAAGAACGTTTTTTAGTCATGTTCTTTTTAGTGTCTGTAAATCCAATATAGACGGTAATATATTCCAATTTGATTTGAAACACGACTATAGTTAGAAAATCACATAAACTCGAAATTTTAGTATGTTCATACTTAAACTAGCTGTCGACCGCGACTCCGTACACGCTGAAATGTAAAAAAGAAGTAGCCTATGTGCTCTTACAGACAATGTTCTACATTTATGCCAAATTTCAGCAAGACTCATGCAGCCGTTCTGAGTTTACCTTCTATATAAATGACAGCATAAACAAATAACGAATCATCACTAAATTATATTGCTAGAGCAAAAAAAAACGAATTTTTTTTTTAAATTCATCAATGTAACGTAACTTTGCACAAAATAATCCGTATACAAAATAATAAAACCGGTTATTTTTAAGCAAATTTTTTTAAATTTCGAATTTATAATTTAACAATAAATGCACAAATATATTATTAATTTTTAGGTATATTTTAACACTTACTAAATATCCAGTCCGCATGGTACACAGTACAGCCTCCGATATCTAAATGATAGCCAACTGATGTCATGTACATATGTTTGTATACTTTGTTTGTTTGTTGATGTATCAACGCGCATTCGTTGTAGTCAAATTTCAAATGTTAGTGACGTCATTTAGGATATGACGATACTTTTTACGAAGAGCAATCTTTAATTCCAAGAGTTTTTGATTTTCAGATATGTTTTGAATACTGGAGATGGTTACTTATTGTTTGTTTAAGGATTCTCTTGTTAACTCTTATACTTAAGTTGACTGTATTTTAAAAATTTTAATCTAATTAATATTATAAATACGAAAGTTTGTCGTTATTTAGCATAGATGTAGAACATAGTCTGGAAGATCGCATAGGCTACTAAATAAGTTTTTTTTTTAATTTCGAACGGACGGAGTCGTGAGTGACAGCTAGTCGATTACAAATTGACTTCATTTATTCATTATTACTTGAAATGCATTGTGCCAGTATTTAAGATAATTTAGACATAGACAATTTCAATCTTGATCATTGTTTTCAATTTAACTTGCATAAACACTATCTGACCAATTTAGGTGCGTGTTATTGAAGATCTAGAAGTGTCCGATTTATTCAACGCAGGCAATTACTAACACATTCAGAACAAGACTGGCCTGATATTTCAATTTATCTTATGTTTGGATGGATGGATGTTTGAAGGTATCTCCAGAACGGTTCAACGAAATCTCAATGAAATTTGCCATAGATGTAGAACATAGTTTGGAACATAAACTACTAATGAAGTTTTTTTTTAACAGCCAGTTTTAAAATATTGAAAGATATACATACGTTATATTCTTCCACATTATGCTCTTTAACTAGCATAACTTTAACTTGACTGCAAAGATAATCTAAATCCAACGACTAAGAAAATCGGAGATAATTAAAAATTATCTTTTTATGAGTAATAAAAATTCAAACATTGTATACTCACAATTAAATTTGAAATCGGAACGCAGTTATAATGGAAATATATTTTTGCAATCTTAGTTAGGAATAAAAAAAATATTGTGCCTATAAAATGTATGTATATTCTACAAAATAACCATAAAAATGGTGGTTCAATTATTTTATCAATGCAACTAACAATCAGAAACAGTGCAAATTGGCTTACATTTTTTTTTGATAAAAAGTTTTATTTGTGTGACGTATATTTTTGAACAAAGTTCGTATCTTTTACATAGACTATAGTGTATTTACAGTCTTTTATAACCTTATATAAACTTTTACAGTATATTTTTAACAATATGTATTGTTATTTAATTTTAAATTGCTCGATTATTTTTCATCTTCACATGAAACATATTTATAGACCTTTACAAACCTATTAACACAATTTTAAAGCACAATTGGGTAGATTTTCTCTATAATTACTTATTATTATTGAATATAAATATTATATTAGTAATTTTAACAAAATGAAGAGACATAACAGCTTTATAACTGGCCGCAAGGTTTATCAAAATATACTTGACCTATTATCTAAGGTCAAACTATATTTCCAGCTCATATTTATGTGTTGCCTGATTTATTGTAATAAATATATACATATGTTACTGGCCAGTTATATTCTCCAATTTAAAAAAAATAAATCATCATTCTTTTTAAGCTAGCCTTTGACCACAATCGTATCTTATTAAAAATGTGGTTAATTGTCTGTGGTAATTTTATAAGTGCCTAGTCATTCTACTCTTGAACTATCATTTAGTGGGAAACACTGACACTGGCAACTTATTCAACCCGCACAATGAAAATCTGTTTAGCTTTTCTGACTATTATAAATTAAGGTGGATCGATGGATGTTTCTTACTAGAAATCTTCAGCACAGCTCAATAAATCTCTATGAAATTCGGTAGAGATGTAGAACACATCTGGAAGACTGTACAGGCTACTAAATAAGTTTTTTCTTAAATTTCCTGTGGACATTGTTGTGTCCAACACCCAGTCCAATCCAAAATAAAAGAACATACTGCCCCAGTTACATCTCTTATAAGATTGATTAAAATATATAACTGCAATTAAAATTGTGAACGTTCTTTTTCATCTGCCACAACATTTATTCTGCTCATTAGAGAAGCAGAGATTAAATTAAGGAGTAAATTGTTACATTACATATCATTTAATGAGAACTGCATTGAAATTCTGTAATCCAATTCAAAAAAACCTTCATAAACTATTATACTAATATTAATCACGACTTTAACTACATATTAAAATTTGTGTAGGTTTTAACTACAACTTTTCATATTAGTTACAATATACTAGTCTACATAAAAAATAATTTGTTTAACTGGAATAATACCTTTTTACCCATTTAATCCCATAACCATTAACAACCTAGTGAATAGTCATCAACATAGATAATAAGAGAGTTATCGCAAAAAGGAAATAGGCACAGGAAGCAAAAAGTGACCCGCATAAAATCGTTCAGGACTGCCACTTCAATTAAATTCGTAGGATACATTTGATATAATAGCTATTTAAAATCAATTAGAACAAATATTTTATAAAGCACACTATATTCTAATTTAAATAACATTTTTTTTGTTAAATGGCAGTCCTAAATAGATATTTAGAAATTAAAATACTTACAGTCATCTTTGTTGATTAGTTAAAACCTTATTTTCGAAATATTAATATCATGTTTTATGTCGTGTTTTATTATTGTTAACATTCCGCGAGATATAAATACGGGGTAATAACATTTAGTGCACCATTATAATTATAAATTGTAATAATTTCAAAACACTGTACTTTGCGTTTTCAATAGAAAAAAAACCATCAAATGTTGCCAGAACTTATTCGAAATGCGTACCAATGAAAATTAACGTCACTATTATTCTACCATTAGCAATAAAATAAACTTGTAAGGAAATGTTTTTAACCTTTTAAACTTATCATTTTGAGAATAACTTGTTACCTTAACTTTGTTACCTATACTAATTTATTTGCATTTGATTTTGCATTGCTTAAGATGGAGATTTTAAAATTACATAGATGCTTTAAATCATTTAAGAGTCAAATTTAAAATTACAAACTTGATTCTTTATCTGGTATGTATTTTAAAATTTTATAAAATTATTTATCCAGTATTACCAGTTTTACCAACATATCTAAACGATGATTCATCGCAGACGTTTTTTTTAGTTTTGTATAGTACAACATTACATAATCTGTCAATTTTTTTTGTACAAACAGCAGCCATATTTTTATTGCCATATTGTTGTTTTGTTGCTGATTGCGGTTTAGAACAGTGATCGTGGAATTGTAAACAAATTTATAAATTTACGTTTGATTTACTTATCCTATGAATTTTATTAGTATTTTACAATGTATTGAAGGTTTTCCTTTTCGATATGACTAAAAGTCACTTATTCAAAAGTTAAATACACTATTTCATTTGCCTCTGCGATGTCAAGATATTTATTTTATTTTCTTTTTATAAGTTATTTGCAAAATGTTATGGGATATAGCCAATTATGCGATAACAAAACAAGGAGTTGCACAACTCAGGTGAGCTTTATCCATGTTTAATTAGTAGAGATAGTCCCTTTATTGATTTATTGACTGGCCAACCTTGACGACGCAATAAGACAGTTGTAAATGCTATTTCTCAAAAGCTCGTTTTTACAAGGGATGGAAATTATCAATGCGACAAATGTTTTATATATGCAATCGATAAATGAAGAGCGTGAATGCTTAGAGTAAATGAAAGAAAAATGCCAAGACCCCTCTAAATGTAAAGAGTAATAATTAATTTTTATTTGCTTAGGCTTAAAATTGTTAACGACTCCTGATATAACATTTTTTCACAACTTAAATAATTTTTTTAGATTTTGGGTCATGACTATACAGAAGATTCATGTCAGTTAGAATACTTTAAACCTGATAGCCCAGCATGTAGAGCAATGGATTTTGCTCCGATATCACCTAACGATCACATTGGCGGAGTCAGCTTGAAGCCTTATAGTCTCCAGTATGAACATGTCACCTCATTGGGCACATTTTACACGGTCAACCATACTGTTCTTAACATAACATTCAGTAATATCAAATGGAAAAGTAAGTATTTTTGTTACTGATTTTGGGAGTTGCCTGCCCACGATACTACTTTGGTAACCATGTCAAAACATTATGGGCGTTACGGTTTTTAAAAAATATCATTTTTATTTCAGCTATGAAATTCCGATTTCAATTCTCTAAGCAGAAGAATTCAGACAATCATTGCAGAAATATTGTTATATCAAACAATGTGACTATAAATGATCAATCCATGTTCTACTACGATTGTTATTGGCCAATCTCTGATGGCAACCCCAATGGACAGAGTCACATTCTGGATTTTGAAGCCACAGATGATGTTGTTGTGAACCGAGGACAATATTACTTCAATATACCAACACCACAGATGTTAAGTAAGTGGATAGTTACATTTCTTTTAGCAATAGGAGGCTATGGTTTCCGCAACTCCATTCCTAACCTGTATTTTGAATGGGGCCAGGGAGTAGGGTTACACTTTGAGATGATTGAAATCTTGAAACTCAAAAAAACTTACTGTGAATAAAGTATCACTAAGATGTTATTATAAAACTATCTTCTATGATGAAACCAAACAACTATTTCACTCAGTGAAGTGCACTCAGAGACCCTATGTATTTTTGATTTGATAGGTATGATGTCAAAACATAGGTCAAATGTTAGAGTTCATTCTTAGAAACCCACTGTACGATAATCTAAATACTAAGACGATTAACTGATGTAATCTTTGCATAATACTCGTTTCAGGTCCATCAGCGACAATCAACGAGTGGAAACCATTTATCTATATCGAAATATTGACAGACAAAATGAAATTACATGTTGTACCTCCGCCATCTCATTTGAAAGTTACCTCATACGAAATAACGGTGTTCAGAGAATGTGATAAAGAAACATTATGTACAGCTGATGATTTGGTAGCAAATACAACAATAAAATTAAAGAATAACTTACAAGAAGTTACATATGAGACGAGCATGTTAAAGAAATCCGGATCATATTATTATGTGGTTACGGTTATTCATGATGCGTGTAATAGCGAAACTGGAGATTGTCAATATATGGAGAGTCCAAGAATAAGGATTAGTAAGTATTTCAGTTCAGAATTTGACTTAAGTTTTGTTTTTGTTTTTTTATTATAATAGAGTTTACTCCCATCTTATTAATATTATAAATGTGAAAATTTCGATGGTTGGATGGATGTTTGTTTGAAGATATCTCTGGTATGGCTCAACAGATCTCGCTGAGTTTTTTATATACCTAGAACATAGTCTGGTCGAACACATAGGTTACTTGAGTCAGGGGTGACACCTAGTATTTTATAGAATAATAATAATTAAATAATATATAATGCACTGTTAAAATATTTAGGTAAATGTTTTTTTATTTATGAAATGAACATTTAATTATTAACTATATTTGCTTGTACAGCTAACGAAGTGCAGCCGTTGAGCATCTGCATAGCGAGCATCACCGCACTCATAGTGGCGACACTGTTCGCGTATTACATCGCGTTACGAGTGATGCGCCGTTACTGCTGCACTGAATACAAGTCACCACCAGGTAAATAATCTAGTAAAGTTAGTTAATATAGTCTTAACATTTGTCTAGTTTTGATGTCCTTACTTCCCACTGTTTTTCTACAAAAGCCAGGAAGTGATAGGGATTGTGCAATTTTTAGAAGAGAGAATTATTTCACAGCGTGTCATAAATTAGTTTAGAAATCATTTAGAGTTCATCTAAGTAGTGTCTCACCAGTTCATAGACACATAGGTTCATATGTTTGACTATATATTTTTTGTTACAGCTTACGAATTACCATCACCGCCGAAGATATTAGTTGTTTACTCACCAGTGAATAGATTGCATGCAGAATGTGTTGCATCTTTTATTACATACTTGCGCTCTGAATACGGATTCGAACTTATGTACGAAGGGGACATATCCAGCACGTCCCATGCAGATCCATTTATATGGGCAAGCGAATCATACCGTATTGCAACTCATATTATGTACATTGTCGGTCCCGCTGAAGAAACAAATCTATATAATAATATTTACGACAAACCGATAATAACAGCACATAGAGATGTTGATAATATTGTTCTAGCTATGATCAAGGCAAATCGTAATGGAAAATCCCAAAAAGATATTATAAATATATTCTTCGAACACTCCAGTGGACAATTGCCTATTGAAACGAGACATGATAAAGCTTTCTTCCTGTTGAAGGATTGGCAGAAACTTATATCTTATCTGTCACAAAATATGCTACCAAAGAAACAGATTATGAGAACGGAGAAAGGGAAATGTTTTATTGAAGATTTGTCGAGGGCTAAGAAACTACTGAGTATTAAACAAGACGATGTTGTTATCAGATGTGAGAAAAATTGGAATGAGAAAAAGGTTTTATTGTAGTTTCCGTTAATTTGAAGAACAAAGCTTGCTGTTGTAAGTACATGTTTAAATTTAATTATTTTTAAATGTTATTCAAACAAAATTGTGCCAGAGGTCAATTTAAGTAGAAAACAGTTTTCAATAATGTTATTTATCAAGTATTTAAAGATTATGTACAATGCATTTCAAATAAAAATGTGCATGTGTCCGTCATATTGTGACGTCATAGCTCTCAAATAGAAAAAAATTACATAGAGAAACCCTTCTTTGTGTCAATTTATTCCATTTAATTCTACTAATTTTTTTTTACAATTATGATTTTTCATGTCTTATTTTATTATCTGTACTATATATTCTATCGACTTTTGACAGATCGAGATTTGACAGGCACATTATTATTTGAAAGAAACTTGGATAAGCAAGAATATAACATGGTCCCTTGGACTCTCACTTATCCGGGTTCTTATACAGATTAAAAATTGCATTTGGAATATCGTCTTGTAAAACAAGATATAAATTATATGCAGGTCATAAGAATTTGTTGAATATAGCGATCCAGACATTTCTAATATCATATTATCTGGTCAACTAAGTGTTGTATGCAAAAGGCATATGCCTTGTTTGCAAATGCATATTTAATTATTATTAAAAGTATTTTTGTGGTTATTTATAACTTGTTGTTAATGTAAACGCATAATTATCTATATAGAAATATGATTGCTTATCAATTTCAATATTTGTGTATACCAAAAAATTATTTCCGTCAAATGGCACCTTTATTCTGCACTTTCAAACTTTTCTATTGAATGTTTATTCTTCATGTAATCTCAGAATATTTAACCAACAATTTGTCTAAAATTAGATTATTTTTAAAGATGAAAATTTTCGGAATGTAGACCATACTCTAAAGATTTCTTAATTACCATTCTTTTTACTGTGCATAGATAGATTCATATAAAAATATCTTCAAGTCTCTCACTATTCGAGAACAACATAGCAATAGCATGTTTTTGTATTTAAGTTTCGGTACCAACAACTTAACTTACGCCAGTAACTCTAAGGGGTAGACCACTCTATTTGGCGCGGTCTTGACATATCTCTCACTTCTTCATAGCTTCTGCTAATATTTTTAGTTACAAAGTGTTGTATTAACTAGTCATTATACAGATTAGAATCTTAAAATAAGACTGAAAATGAGAAATTTTACTAAATCCCAATAATCTATGAAGTAAATGTCAATTTTTTTTAATTGTACAAAATTTATCTCGTAAAATATGCAATAAGCCTTTTAAGCCATGACTTAACATGACATGTAATTCTTTTAATGAATATTCATTGCAAAGCACCCGAAGTCAGTAAAGTAAGCGTTGCATCTTGATATTGTTTTTTCAAAGTTAATAAGAGGGATGACTATATGTTTTCTATAAATGTTTTTTTTTTGTAGTGGAAACTGAACATTTTAAAGTTATCCTTGCACTAGAGTGTGGTCTACATAGTTTATGAATGTTAACTCTGTGTGCCATTGTTGATGTTATTCGCAAAATATATTGTATGAAAGATTTTTATATACATATGATGCTTTATTTGTCGCGGCTTTCGGTATAAAATTGATGAGTAAGTTTTTTTTTTATTTCTTTGTACTAACATAGAATAAATATTTAATTTGAGTTTATATTTTTTGGCAACAAGAATTGGCGGGAATTAAGACAGATGTCAAAATTTGACTATTTTTTTTTATTAGTATATAAATATTTTATGAGTAAAATTGATTTTAATTATATTTTTTATGTAAATTGTAGTTTTTGTATTCTGATTGGTGATCTTACGGGTAGTAAGGTGGCCGCGGCCGCGACATATAAAGTGATAATCGATGTTTACTCTTCAAGTTGATATATTTATACTTGCTCGTTGATCTCAGCCCAAACTGTTGAAGTGAATGTGTTCTCTTGTCATACAGGACTCTAAGCTCAATATATACCTTGTGATGTATTTTTGTAATATAGATAATATTATCATTGTGTCTTTTATTTTATTAACATTCCCATAATATACATAATCTCAAAACTTATTTTACTTATTCTCCAATCTTTATTTTAGAAAGTAAGATAAAATAAACTTTTTAAATACAGTTTCATAAGAGCTTAACTAACACACATCTCAATCTTATAAATAAAAAGTTATTCCTCTTCGTTAGTTTGGCTATTATGACATATAAGAACCGCCATCTTTGATTTTTTCTTTAGGCACAGGTAAGTGTTGTACGCCACACATCATTTCATCATCCTGTTAGTTACGTGGATCGAAGCGTATTCTATACATTTGTAGGAGAAATAAAAAAAAACGAAATTAATTGCTATCATTGGTTTAATTATCACCCAGATTATTTATAACATTACTTTGGAATGCTTACACTATTATGACGTCACACAAATGAGCAATATTAGGAAGTCACTAAGTTTATATGCTTAGTTTATTAAACACGATTAGCATTTTTACTAAATTTAAAAAAAAAATATTTACAAATTTTACTGCATTTGAAATATGTTCACATTCACAGACATTAAAAAGTTAATTCATGCATGCAGACCATAATCGTGATACCTTAACCCACATATTTATAATAAAAAACATGTTTAAATTTCAAAATAAAGATATTAGTTACTGAAAATTCAGATTTCTTATTCACCACGAAGTCATAGTGGGACGAAAACAGTTCGTGAAAAGGAAGGTACGTACTTGACGTGGGCACTGCCATGCCCTCAAATAACTATGTTGTGTAAAGATGCTTAATATTGGCAAGCTAGGATTAGCCTATTAAAATTACTTATGTCCATTTTGATAAGCTGTCAAATTTGGCGCCTTACAACAGAATAGACAGATAATTAAAAATTTCAACGAACCTCAGATAAAACAACCTGAGAGAGCTTATGATTAAAAAAAATAATATCCAAAAAGATACAATATTAATTTCTTAAAACTATCAACAACAAAATGCTTTCTTAACCAATATTTGTATACTTACACATTTGTGTTTAGAAAAAAAGTTTAAAATTGGAAGATTTTTTTTTTAATATTTTCAAATAAATTGATTATATTTTAATGCATGCCTTATTTATTTAAATAACAAAATAATTTTATAATTAATTATTGCAAATATCGAATAAACGACAGATTAAAATGTTAAAAAAAAAATTTATATATCATAAATAGATTTTAATACGTGTATTAATTTGTACACTACAGTCCTAACTAATCGTATTATAAAAAACATCGAGATAAAACAAAATTATTTTATACAACACATTCACAAAAAAAAGTTAACAAAAAGCTTAGTTTTTTTTTACAATGTGCACCTGTCACTATCATTGCACTAACAATTTTCCCGTCAACGAACGAGATCGCACAGACTTTAGTCTAATATCGCAACAATTTAGACTAAATTTGAACTATGACGTATCACTTCATGTTCTGAAAAAAAAACAAAATATAAATTACAATAACTTTACTGACATTAAAAATGCAAAAGTTTGGGAACAGCTGAACTGATTTGGACAAAACTTGGATCGGAAAACATAATCTAGAATTGCAAAGGTTGCTTTCTTCATTATTTCCTAAAATTCTAAACGAAAAAATGTCAAGCTAAGTTCACTTAAAATATTACGTGATATTCTCAAGTAAATAGTTTTTTCGTTATATTGATTACTAGCTGTCGCCCGCAACTCTGTCCATGCGGTATTGAAAAAGACAACTTAATTAGTAGCCTATCTGTTCTTCCAGACTATTTTACATCTTTGCCAAATTTCTGCAAGATCTATGCAGTTGTTCTGGAGATACCTGCTAACAAACATCCATCCATTCATTCGCATTTATATTAGTACCAGCTGTCGCCCGCGACTCCGTCCGCGCGGGATTAAAAATAGATGTTGGCCGATTCTCAGAGCTACTCAATATGCTCACAAAATTTCATGAGAATCGGTGAAGCCGTTTCGGAGGAGTATGGGAACGAAAATTGTGACACGAGAATTTTATATATAAGAAGATGCTGCTGGTATTGCTTACATGCAGCAATCATACTGGCTGATGGAATTTTACTCACATGATCTCGAGGCTGCTATCACTATTCTTGGTGGCGTGTTCGCCTTCGCTGGAGTTGGAGCCGCCACTCTCTGAGCGCTGGCTGCGGCTTCGGTGCGACTTTTTCTTCTCTTCTACCGCTACTTCTGTGGCTGATGCCTCTTCCGATTGCCGCTGCCATGCCGGGATCGATGGCGGCTCTGTACGTGTTTTGAGGGAAGGGAATTGATTCCTGAGAGAGGTAAAGGGAAATATTACGAGATTAATCAAACTAGACACTGATTTGTTATTTTTTTTTTCTTTTAGAAAAATATTAGCAGATTTTTTTGTAAATTTACTAATATTTCTTTAACCATTCCAACTAAGCTCTAGGCTTGTGCTAGGATATGGTTTACGACAATAGTCGAATGGCGGGATTCGAACCCCTACCTCGTGGTCGGAAATCCATACTCTTAACCATTAGGCTATTGTTTACCTTACCTTTATAACAAACCTATTTGAATATTTTTTTTGTCAGATCTCAATAAGAGATTACTTAACTTTTTCCGTAGACCCCTTTCACAATTTCAATGGCTTTTGTTTCGTACAAATTCAATTGTTTGGTATAAAACATTTTGTTGAGCGTGAAGTTAAGAAATTATTGCATTAAAGTAATTAGCTACGCGCTTTTCTTTCCGTAGCCGATTGCGAAGTCAAGTTACGTTGTCATCGTCCCGCGCGTCGCTCCGGTTGCATTGTTGCCCGCGTCTCAGACGTGAACTCTTTTCATATAAATTTCTACCACATTATTATACAACCCTTAAATTTTTCCGTCAATATGCACCTTGACCGTCTCTCCTAAGGGGTCTATAAGGGACACTTTGGAAATCGCTGCCAAAGACGACCACCTTTTTATTACTGCGGAAGAAAAATCCATACCTGTTCAATAGTATCCCTTTAACGGATGCTATATCAGACTTGAGGTTGTCCAGTTGGAAGCGCAATGCATTATGCTGTGCCGCGGCCTGCACCTCGTTGCGCAGTGACGTCACACTACTGTTCAGCACGTCCAGAGATTTACGCAGCTCCTCTATGCACTCCGCTGTTGATTTACGCTTTGGCTCTTCAACGAATATTAAATGCTTCACACAGTTCTGTAAAGTAGATCGAATTTCAGAATTTAACTCATATTACCAACACATAGATGTTTTGTATTTGATACTAGCAGTCGCCCGCAACTCCGTCCGCGTGGATATATAAAAAACTTAATTAGTGTAGCTCATCCATACATCCATCCACATCACATCCACCTAAACATTCGCATTTAAATGAAAAGCGGCTCTTCAAGGCATAAATTCGAAAAAAATGAATAAATAGTATCCTATGTCCGTCTCCTGGCTCTAAGCTACCTCCTCACCAACATTCAGGCATATCGGTGAAGCCGTTCTTGAGTTATAAATAGTGTAACTAACACGACTTTCTTTTATATATAGATATGTCAAAATCTGTGCTGTACTTTTGCAGTTTACGAATTTGAAAGTATGGATAGATTTCAAGAGAATATTCAAATATTTGAATAGCTATTTAATGCATTCTCGACTTGTATATAAATTTCATAATAGATGCAATTGATTAATCTATTGTCATCTTAAACTTCCTAGTAAAAGTATCAATTGCTATCAGTTGAAGTAGTTATTAAACCCAAGTACCAACACTATTGTATTCATTTATAATATTTTATATGAGAAATGAACAATAGATAATCTATGATTCAATTTACATAATGCAATTAATAAAAAATAATTTATGTAAAATTAATGATAACAATTCATTTCTTTTCATGTTTCGTAAATATGAAAAAGTACTTATAAAAACTTTATACGTAATTTTCTAGTAAATATAATTTTTTGTAATATGTTTCAGTTGTAGAGACATACAGGAAACATCGTGTTAAAATAAGATGTATAATGCAAACTGTGGAGCAATAAGCAATGCGAACGAGGGACGTTGGCATGGTCAAACGTCGCGTCAGTAATTAAAGACTACAATCAATCGCCAAGGTTAACGTCAGATATGTTTTTTTCTTTTTTTTATATCATAAGGTGGCAAACGAGCGAGCGGCCACCTGAAATCGCTGAAGTGACCGTTGCCCATAGACATACGCAATTGCATATGCGTTGCCTACCTTTAATCGACGGAGGAGAGGATGCACAGAAAGAAAATATTTCCCCTTCCATGTATCCTCTCATCCGGAAAGTCCACTTCCACTTTCCATCCTTTCCTTATGAGAAAAAGGGTGGGAAAGGGAAGAAGATTAAATTAGGCCTCCTGGACACACACTCATCAGACTGCATGCGGAATAGTTTCCACTTGACGCCTGCCTTCTGTGTGGTCGTGGTATTTCACCGGGCGAAACTGGCCAATTCGTGCGAAGTAGTTAAAGCGGGCTCTACCACTGTTAACACAATATACATACAATAAAAAGGTATTATATTTTACTCATGATACAGGGCTTTATAAATACTAATTAATTGATATAACAAAAGAATTGTTTAATGTTTTGTTGTGATATGGTTGTATAGTTAACAAAGGAAAGTCCTTGACTGAACACTACGAATAAATCAAAGATGGTTGCTACTACAAGATGGCCGTTAATAAAATTTTATGTTTCAATTATGGGGTTAAGTTTTGACTGTTATATAGATATTGTTATCTCTAAATGTCACCTTTATTATCTATCGATTTAAAAAATTAAACAAAGGAATTTATTTGGTACAGTTGTCGGTGCAGTGGTAACCGGCTGTTAACGATAATCGCAACTTGCTTTACGTAGTAAGATGATATTAAGATGCACTTCGAACTTTACGAGATAAAAAAATCATCACAGTATAAAAGTTAAATATAAATATTGCTGATATTAACACTTCTATACTAGTATTATAAAGATAAAAGAATTAATTGTTAACCTATATTTATTATTAGATTTTTTTTTAATATTGCGCAGACTAAGTCACAATCAACTGCCAACATTTCCAAATTAAAAAAAAAATTAATCCATTTAAAAGACAATATTTTTCCATGGTTCAGAGTAAAGGTATTGGTTGTCCAGTAACCTGACGGATATTGCATAGTATTATGCTTATCTTTAATTTCATGGCTATCTTTAATTTTGTAAGAATTTTTATCAATCAATGACCTTAATGGACACAAATACTTGTATAGATAATGTATAATTAGAACGAAAAATGCGATTACAATTTCAAAGTTGCATTATTAAATCTAGCTTTAGAAACAACATAACAAAATTTTTTATCTCTTCTCTCTATAAAAACGACAGGCAACAATGACGTTTTTAACCGACTGCAAAAAGGAAGAGGTTCCCAATTCATCTATGTATGACTTAACTATGACTAAACTTTGTTGTAAAATACAGCTAATAGATGGCATTTTATCCATTTGAGCCTCAGCCGAAGTTTTTTTTTAATTTTAATTTATACATCCGCAGCCAAACAAGTATATATCTGCGGTTATACTGAACATGGCAACACCAAAAAGTGTTTGTAATATTTTAAGAAAAAATAAAAATGAAACCTGCTTGTACTAAAGAGAATAAAAGGACTAAAGAGAAGAATATATAGCACATAAGAATAAAGCACAGCCAATGTTCGTTTATCTTTAATTTTGTTCTAATTTTCTTATTTATCAAATTTATTCTATGCTCTAGTTTTATTACTTTATTATCAACGTCAACGTATTTAAAAAGTAATGGTATGTTACGATTGAGCAATTTTAAACGAAAGAAAAAAACACGTTCAAGGTAAAATTCTGTACAAAAAAAGATTACCGCCACTTCATTAAATTATTTATCTGAAATGTTTATAAAGTACTTTACTTTTTCTGCAGAAACCCAAGGTCAAAAAATTGGAAGAAAATAGTTATTATTAGCATTTTTTTTAAGTTGATACATAAATCAACCTATAACCTGACTAATCTTACTAATATAAATGCGAATGTTTAGATGGATGGATATTTGTTAGAAGGTATCTACAAAACGGCTCAAAAACAGTTGTACAAAAACTGTATCTTATCAAAAATTAAGAAAGGGCTCAAACTTCTTTGGAAGTAATTAATAAATCCCAGGACCGGTCATAGTGGCAATCTTTGGGGGAGGCCTATGCCCAGCAGTGGGCGACTCATGGCTGACAAGAAGAAGAAACCACAAGACTCAAGTTGGAATTATTTGTATAACAGCAGTAATAACGCCATTAGTGACCTATTCCAATAATTACATACAACATTGTTATGAAAATAATGTGAATTGATGTAGCTAGTCTAGATAAACTCAAGATATATTTGACCTCTTTATGCGCTGACCTGCTTTGTTTATAAATTAACCTGGCAATATATAAACGCAAATCTATGTAAATTTATCGAGAAGAAATGTAATATTTCTTTATCTACATAATTAAACTGGCATTACAAAACATTTTTTCGTTTATTACAGGACAAAATGATTATACTTTTTTAATTTTAGTCTCGGTTTGATTTAGTTTCTGATTAACAAAAAAAACAACACTGCTATTTTTTATCAAGATAGTTTTTTTTAGTTTTTTCTAATCTTTAGTTAAGTGAGAGCAATAGATAATTGAAAGACTCACCTTATAAAACCAGTAACATCCATACATAAATCCTCCATACACTATAATTGGTAAAACGCGTTCCCGTAACCAAGACTGTCTTGAAGAGTTGAAGAACATAAAGTCAGAAGCAATGGATGGCACATCTATCAATTCCCCGCATTTCTCTATAGCCTTTTGTATCTCTCTGTCAGTCAAACCCTTATTACGTAAGAAACGCTCTTTGCTTTCTAATGTACACCTCTGTACGTTTGGATTGGATAGAAACTTTACTGCTGTTGTTACCTGAAAATACTACTTGATTTAAAATTTCATAAACTAAGGCTATGGTTAATTCAGAGCCAAATTAAAAAAAAGTTATTAAATTTAAATATAAAATTATGGATAATGGTGAATTTAGTTAAAGCAAATGTAAGCTGCATCTGTTGATATTTTATTATGATAGTTCAAATTGATATAATTGCAACAAAATTAATTTAACCGTATACAATACAATAACTTAGTTGACTATGATTAGTTTTAAAAGTTTAATAACGTTTGTTAAAAGGTACGAAGGTCATTCAGATTGGCGAAATCTTGTATTTGAATATCATTATAAATTATGTAAATTATACGGTATAAATTTAACGGGCGCATGAAATTAGTTTTAATTATAAAATTATCATATATAATCACCAAATTCTCTCGTATCTCACTTCCAGAACTTGCTAATATATCCGAAGCCATTTCGTTTAAAAAATTAACTCAAATTCTACAAGAATTTCAATATTTTGCACTTCACCGCACACTATTATAAGTCAATTCACATGAAGAACGAATTAAACTTTAAATTTGTCTCGAAATATCCCACCATTAAAATAAAGAATTAAAATTTACTAAAATTAAGGTCTATCATGAATGCACAACACAATGACATTGACAAACTATCAGTGTGACCAAGCTCATATTAAACATTATACACACTTCTGTTAAATTCTTGGAAAATGTATTGAACTTTATTTTTTCTAATTAGAAATTGTAAAAAAAAAACAATTCTAAAGCACACAAGCACACAGTATACTATACATTTTTAAATAAGGTTTTAAAGCTTATGCCACCTTCATACAATATTTGGGGCGAGAGATTGACTTTGGTGACACTCCTTTTTACATTTCACTAAGAACGTTTACTTACATTTACAGAGTTTCTAAAGAAAATATCGCAAGCGAAGGAATCTTTCTATTTAATTGTTTCTCTCTAATCTGCAACTCTTCGATACAATTAGCCAAACATTATTATAGGTTTAATTCTGCTAAATTTGTAGATTTGTGCTAATTCCGGTAACATTGTTAAAACCAGTGCACCAGTGCTGCCAGTGTTTATCCATTTGGGGAATATTTTTTGAACTTAATTTGACATCTGTCATATTGACGTTGACATTTGATCTAAACAATATGTGTAATGTTTGTTTGAGATTTGTGATTAAAAATAATAAATAATGAGTGATATTACAAATGCAACAGAAGCAGCTACCCTTGCTGTTAGATTTGATCAAACGGGCCAAGTTGATAAAGCAGTCGAATGCTATAGGACTGCAGCAAGGCTTTTAGACAGAGTTTGTGATCATGTACCGTCAGAAAAGCAATTGGAAATACGAAAAAAAGTTAAGGAGTACCTTGAGAGGGCTACTTTTTTACAGGAACAAAAAGGTATAATATACACGATGTTTTATTAGTTCAATGCCACTAAAAATGACGGACGTTTTTCTAACACTATTCGAGGATGACTCATTGGAATAAAAACTATCGCACAAAGCGACTCCTTCCGCCTTTCTTATTACGAACGCGTTACACAGTTAGTAGTGCATAGAAATACTTTTTTTCAGATAGAGCAAAACAAGCAGAAAGTGAGCGTGGGATGCAACAATGTTATTTCCTGATGCAGCAAGCATTGGATGCGGATGAGGCTAGCTTAAAAGACCTGGCTTTGCAGCTCTACACACAGGCAGTTGAACTGGCTGTCAGTATTGTAAGTGACACTTAAGAGTATAATTCATAACAAATGATACACCTCTCATCACAATCGCTTCAACCATTTAGGTAGTCATAAAGGATGTTACATATATACAAATCTGCATACATATTAACATGATACCAGTTAAATTCATTTTGGTTATTGACAGATTATGAACATTTACATTCCTTTTTTTATCTAGAATACGAGTGATCCTGATGTAAAACAGAAGGTGAAAAATGTTGCTGCACAAGCATTGGACAGGGCTGAGGAGTTGAAAGGCATCAAGAAAATCAGTGCTTTATCAATAAATGAACCTGTGAAACCTGGTAATTCATTCATCAATCATTCAACAATATATTTAGTAAAGGTGTTCATTGTAATGTCACATTGTTTACATTTCAATCAAAGCTATATTAGAAAAACTAGTAAGTCTACAACAGATAAAACTTAAAAGAATTATCCATCCATACACTTCAGGATTCATTTCTAACTTAAAGAAAAATTAAAACGATTACAACATAACCTGGCCTGTAACGTAAAGGAATAGACAGAGCCCATTAAACCTTCAGTTGCACATTCCTAACATCTCTAACTAATAAAAAATCTACTTCCAGCTGTCTCACCAAGAGCGCAATTACAGAGAGAACAAAGTGTACATTTAAAAGTGACAGGCAAACAAGTTTATACGGAAGAAGAAAAAGAAGTTCTTCGTCAAACATCAAATATAAACGACAACTGTTTCCTACCGTTCATGGATGTTGATTATTCTGAAAAGTTTCAATATGCGTTACCATTTGAAGACAAAGCGAGTAAATTAAAGTTGTCGTCTAAGCAAGAAAAGGAATTTGATAGTTGGGTGAGACCGCATGAAGTGTCCGTTGATCCTAAAATGATAGTTGGCGATTATGTTGATTGCTACAGTATTAAACAGACTGTAAGTATACTTTGTTTGTTATAGTTTTGTTATTATTTCTTTAAACAAATGTCTCTTTTTGATATGGCGGCCATTACTTGTACCTAGTTCTGATTTTCAGTTAATAATATTATACATGCAAATGTATGGATAGATAGATGTTTGTTATATGATATCTTTAGAACAACATGGATCTGGGTCTTATTCACTATAGATGTAGAACATTGTCAGGAAGTTTTATTTTATGATTTCGCACGGACGGAGTCTCGGGCAATAGCTAGTTGTAATATAAAGTGAAGGAAAATTGTGATAGCTAAATATGAAATTGGTATATCGAAAATATTTTAGAATTTATAAGGGACCTAGTTTTTTTTTTAATTTAAGCGTTCATTTGGAATAAGGCATATTTTTTTAAATTAATTTTCAGATAGTATCGGATTGTTCGTTTGTTGCATCTCTCGCTGTTAGTGCATTATATGAGAAGAGATTTAAGAAAAAAATAATCACTTCAATTATTTACCCCAAAAATAAAAACAAAGTTCCCGTATATAATCCATTTGGTAAATACATGGTGAAATTACATTTAAATGGTGTGAGAAGAAAGGTAAGTTTTCATAACTCAAGCCCGTAACCCAGAGGTGTAGGTAGAGACCACAGAACTTTATTTGCGCGGTTCTGTCACCTCTATTGGTTCTACATACTTTCATCTACATATATATGTCGTTGTGCGTGATCTTGAGCATTTTATCTATCTCGACATTGGTTCAATCAATGGAAATTTTCGCGCCAAAATTTATACAATATTTAACAGTGGTAGAACCCGCTTTAACATCTTCGCGCGAATCGGCCCGGCTCGCCCGGTGAAATACCACGACCACACAGAAGACAGGAGTCAAGTGGAAGTAACTCCGTATGCAGTCTGATGAGTGTGCGTCCCGGAGGCCTAATTTAATCTTCTTCCCTTTCCCACCCTTTTTCTTATAAGGAAAGTATGGAAAGTGGAAGTGGAATTCCCAGATGAGAGGATGCATGGGAAGGGAAAATATTTTCTTTCTGTGCATCCTCTCCTCCGCCGATTAATGATAGGCAACGCATATATAATTGCGTATGTCTATGGGCAACGGTCACTTCGCTATTTCATCGATTTCATGTGGCCGCTCGCTCGTTTGTCACCTTTTGATATAAAAAATACAATAATAATGTTTTTTTGTGAGTAGACATTGTTCTCTGTGTTCCAGTTACAAAAAAAAATCGTGCCTTAGTTGGAGGATAGTTTTTAGTTGTTTTTTTTTATTTTAACAATTTTTATTGTTAGACTTACAAACGATTATTCCTTTTGAAGTGGAGTTAATTGCAAGAAATTTTAAATGTATTTTAATTTATGTTTAATTATAAATTCGTATGTAATTTTAGGTTATAATCGACGATCGTCTACCTTATAGTAAGTACGGTCGTCTCCTCTGTTCGTATTCCAGTAACAAGAATGAATTCTGGGTGTCAATATTGGAGAAAGCTTACATGAAAGTTATGGGCGGTTACGATTTCCCCGGCTCTAATAGTGTAAGTACTTTCTACTTTTTACTAATATTATAAATGTGGTAGTTTAGATGGATAGATGTTTGTTAGATGGAATTTAAAGAACAGCTAAACGGATTTCGATGAAATTTAACACAGATATAGAACATAGTCTGGAAGAATACATCGGTTGCTTATTTTTTTTTTAATTCCATGCGGATGGAGTTGCGGGCAAAATCTAGAATATAATACATTTTTAAAAAGTTCAAAATTTAATATTAAAATATTTTATGACTGATTTAGTCATTTAAGATACCCCCTTAATATTTAACAAAAAACGTTCAAATATCAATAAAAATGACTGCAATGCATGTTATTCAGAAAATATATTTAAAAATACAAAGTAGTAGATGTTTCTGATGATCAGAACATAGATCTGCACGCACTAACCGGGTGGATACCGGAGCGGTGCGCGCTGCGCAGCGGGGAGGCGGACTTCAACGCGGGCGCGCTGTACGAGACGCTGCGCACGCGCACTGCGCGCGGCGACCTGCTCGCCACCGCCGCCACCGGCGCGCTCACAGACACTGACGCGGAGCGCACCGGACTCGTGCCCGCGCACGCGTACGCCGTGCTCGATGTACGCAACGTCAATGTTAGTCATAACTTTCATACCTTTTTTTTTATATCGCTGAAATAGCGAAGTGACCGTTGCCCATAGACATACGTAATTGCATATGCGTTGCCTACCTTTTATCAACGGAGAAGAGGATGCACGGAAAAAAAATATTTTCCCTTTCCATGCATCCTCTCATCCGGAAAGTCCATTGCCACTCCTTATCCTTTCCTTATAAGAAGAAGGGTGGTAAGGGAAAGAGGACTAAACGAGGCCTCCGCGACGCACATTCATCAGACGAAACGTGGAATTACTTCCACTTGACTCCTGTCTTCTGTGTGGTCGTGGTATTTCACCGGGCGAGCCGGGCCGATTCGTGCGAAGATGTTAAAGCGGGCTCTACCACTGTTAAAGATTCACTGTATTAAGTTTAATTTAATCAGGAGTTTGGCATTTGATTTGTAATCCGTAAATTCTGGGTTAGAATAATGTTCTGTCGATTTTCAAATCGAAAACATCGTGATGTAATCTGCATGTCTACGATATTCAAAGATATGTGTGAAGTCAACCTGTACTGGCTAACTATTTGACTATGGCCTAGTAACCGTAACTTAGCTTGATGATGAAACATAATTTAATTATTATAAAGTTAAAATCGATCCGAATTTTATGTTAATTCCTTTATTTTAGGAAGAAAGTACTTATTAACTTACCTTAGCTTTTAATAATATATAAGGCTATTAAGATTGTTTAATTATACGATTGTTTATTGAGTTATAACGTAAAATAAGATAGATGGTAACCTCAGGGAGTGAAACTACTAAAGTTGAAGAACCCGTGGTCGCACCTGCGCTGGCGCGGCAACTACAGCGAGCTGGACACTGCGCACTGGACGCCGGAACTGCGCCGCGAGCTGAACTACGACCCGGACAGCGCGGCGCAGTACGACAACGGCGTCTTCTGGATAGACTACGCCAGTATTCTCAACTTCTTCGATGTATTCTATCTCAATTGGAACCCGGAGATATTCAAATACACCTTTTGTATACATCAGTAAGTTATTTATTGTTTTTTTTTTTGGGTTATACAATTTTTCTGTCCCAACTGCGTTGGGAATATAAATAAATATTATGTAATAGAAAATAAAAACATTGCAATGAGAAATCTTACTAATATTATAAATGCGAAGGTTTGGATGGATGTTTGTTAAAAGGTCTCCAACACGGCTGCATGGATCTTGCTGTCTGAAAGAATACATAGGCTACCAATAAAGTTTTTGTTGTAATTATCCGCAGACGGAGTGGCGGTCGAAAGCTAGTCTAATTTGAAATAATATTGCTCCAGTTAAATTTAAAATAAATACCATTCTAATATTCTAGTTGTATTTGATTCAATGATGGTAACGGTCTAAAACTATTCAATAACCTATTAGGGTAATCGGTCTTAGTATTGTCCACTTAGATCCTCAATAAGTAAGTGATATAGGAAATGGGAGGCGGGCACAGGACCGGCTAAAGACGCGTTCAATGTGGGCGAGAACCCGCAGTACTCGCTGCGCGCCCACTCGCCCGGCGCTGTGTGGCTGCTGCTGACGCGGCACATCACTGATATCGACGACTTCAGGGACAACAACGAGTACATAACCCTGCTTGTATATAAGAATAATGGACGGAGAGTTTATTATCCATGTAAGTTTGTGTATTTAACCTAAAAGTAATTCTTTATGTTTTTTTCTTGATTTCTTGTACAGTGACTAATATATATGGGTCGCGTAACTTTGCAGTATAATGGATAACAACCTGCTATCGCATTCAGTGGCCTATTGTAAGATAAATTAATCTAATTAACCTATTATTAATTATTATGTCTCAATAAGAGCGTCGGTGGCTCAGTGGTCAAGCACTTGACTTGCAATCTGCAGGTCCTGGGTTCGAATCCCGCCATGTACCAATGTATTTTTCGATTTCCGATTTACATATGTACATTTATCCGACGTTCTTACGGTGAAAGAAAACATCTTGATGCTGCACATATCTGAGAAGTAATTCAAAGATATGTGTAAAGTCAACCAACCCACACTTGGCCAGCGTGGTTCACTATGGGATAATCACCCTGAACTTAGGGTAGGCTCCGAGCCCCTCGGTGGGGACGTATAGTGAGCTGATGATGATGATTTCCCAATAGGCCACACGTTCGCTGTATAACCTATTAGTACAATACTTGCAATGTACTAACAATACGCCATCTAAGTAACCTATTTGTGTACCAGACGACCCGCCACCATACATCGACGGCATCCGCATCAACAGCCCGCATTACCTATGCAAAGTGGTTGTCAGTGAGGGTTGCGATACATTCACTCTGGTCGTGTCGCAGTACGAGAAGTCGCGCACCATCCTGTATACTCTGCGCGCGTATGCCACCTGCCCAGTCAGCCTCGATAAGCTGCATACGTACCCTTACACGAGGACGGTGAGTCACAATATACACCCCCTGTATATACTGCAATACACAACATGTATACTTTGAAAACAAAATCCTGTATACGCAAACAAACTACCAACCAAACACCTGTACACACTTGACAAGCTGCACACGTACACCTACACGAGGTCGTGACATTACACACCCTGTATACACATATAACCACCTGTCGAAAAGAACTTCCTGTATATGCAAAAAACAACATACATTACGTAAACGAATGTTCTGTATTCACATAAAAATAAACATCCTTTATACACAGCAAACCCTCACCCTGTATATAGATATACTGAGTGCCTTTCAAACATACTGTATACAGGTCGTTGGTTCATCAGACCAAAATAACTACACCGACATTATAGTCCCATAAGGATCTTATGATATTATAGTTTATTGAATTTGACGAGTTTAAAGGGTTACCAGTAAGCAAACATTTCCCAACTTCTTCGGAACTTCCTTGTTGCAATTATAAGCAATTGATTTGCAACTTATGATCTTTGTTCTCGTTGTAATTCAAATTGATACATCCAAATATATTAGCAAACTAACCTATATAAAATACTGCGAATTTTTTATGGAATTTCAAAATTATGAAAATGGCAACATTTAACCGCGCAGACGCTGTCAAGATGACATTATTATTTCACATATTTTCCAACAATCACTAAAACTAACCAAAGTAATGTCGTGTAAATGACGTATTTCTTCCATCTTTAGATACGTGGTGAATGGTCAGGTAGAACTGCGGGTGGATGTGAGAACCATCGTGCGACGTATCCTAATAATCCCAAGTTCATTGTAACCGTACCAGAAGCCAGGTCTCCATGTAACATGGTACTGGAACTGAAAGGTCCCAAGCAGTACCAGATTGGAATGGACGCGAGAGTTGAATCTATAGACGACCCTTCAGTTACAGCACCCTTTTTAAAAGAATCTTCAGGCCCTTATAGGTAAGTTTTGATGAAAACCAATTGATTCGTTTGTGTTTTTATTTTAAATTATGCAGATATTTTTCCCGCCAGTTATTCCGCCATCTTAGATTTATTGACTTTTTTGAATTGTTGATTTTATAATACTATTATAATATAATCAATGCGAATGTTAAGATGGATGGATGGATGGATGGATGGATGTTTGTTTGAAGGTATCTTCGGAACGGCTCTCGATAAAATTTAGCACAGATGTAGAACATAATCTGAAAGAACACACAGGTTACTTATTAAGTTTTTTTTAATTCCGCGCAAACAAATCGGGGGTGATAGCTAGTGTATCAATAAATATTCAATACAGTAAATACCGTAATATGCAATTGCGTATGTCTATGGGCAACGGTCACTTCGCTATTTCAGCGATATCAGGTGGCCGCTCGCTCGTTTGTCACCTTATGATATAAAAAAAGAAATATACAAAATATACGACCAATATTTGTACATTGTTCTTGAACCAATATAAAGTTTGAAAAATTAGTGTATATTTTAATTTTTTCAGATCTGGTTTTGTATATTTGGAGCTTCGTAATCTCCCAGCAGGTAGGTATATAATAACAGTATCAACTTTCTATCCGGGTCAAGAAGGACCATTCTTCCTCGAGCTCAAGTCTACGTGTGAGGTGACGTGCGACGCGCGCAACTAGCGCCCTCGCTGCCACAGACAACATATATCTCATTTGAAAACTTGTCTATGAAATTAAAAAAAAAACTTTTTTAGTACATTTTTTTTAGATTTGAACTTGTGTGTTATTGACAACAGGGTTATTTTAAGTTTAAAATATTGCATTTAATTAATAAATTACACTTTTTTGCACATAGTACATTTTTATCATTAAATAGGTAATCGAACGTTTTAAATTGATTTAGTTTTAAAACGCAATTTATTGACATATTTAAAACTTTTTGATTTTTAATCTAGAATTTTGAATGAATTAAAAGATGTTAAATATTAATTATAAGCAGAATTTTACGTTTATTATTGTAATAATAATATAAGAATTCACATGTCCAAAATATCCTATATTCTTCACACGTAATATTTTGAAAATAATAAATTACTAAAAAATACCATAGAACATAGAATCCTAATGTTGTTTAGTAAAATTATGTTTTAAACTTATTTAATAAAACTAAACATAATAAGAAATAATAATAATTGTAAGAATATTCTTTTTTATCTTCTTTTAAACGTTACTTAATTTGATAGACAATAATTATGAAATTAGATCTGTGCCTTTACAGGATTTATGAAAAGAGCGCGTCATTTTGATTTTTTTTTTTAGCTTAAAACATCAGAAATAGTTTAGTATTGCACAAACGATCAATTTTTATAATTTTATACCATATTTTTGTTTATTTAGAGTTAGAATATGAAAATATAAGCATAATAGTAACAGATGTGTAACCTCTTTTGTGATGACTTTTTAATTTTTTTTTTGGAGTTAAATGTTTTATGGTTTTTCTGCCAGCCGCAGCGATAGCTACCAGTTGCTTGCTCCGCACGCGCTTGCACACTGTGATAATTATATACCATTTTGTTAAGAAATTGTTCGACATTTTAACCTAAGAAATGTATAAATAACGTTAATAAATATTTTCATTAAAAAGATTTTTTATTTATTCCTCCATACATTTCCTCATGCACAAGGCAACGTTAATCATTGAAACTAATATTGTATCCTTGCGTTGCGGAAACGCGTCTCCGTACGCATAACGTTGAGTCGTCGACTCGAGTTGTCTATTCAGTCAGTACAGGTATAAGCATAGCGACTCTCTGTCAGCTGTATAGATTTGCTCCGCCATCTTGAAAATTGCAGCTACTTTTCTGGCGACGATTTTGACGAGCGACTGGAACTAACAACAAAATAATAAAATGTCGGCAACGTTCGCTGTGTACAAACCTCTTTGGTATTTGTTGCTTAAGTGACAAACTAAAATCACCGGGATTCGAAGATTTACGTTGCCACTCATCCATTTACTTTACAATGAAAATTTGTCAAAGATTACAGAAAAAAATACAATATTTTCTTTAAGTGTTTTATAAAAGCCACTCTCAGTCATCGATATCAATAAATAAAAACGACTTGATAAATAAAAGCAAACGGCGAAGCTTTTCCAAATCAAATTGTTTGTAATCAATTTACAAGCTCAATTGACTTCGATTCAGTATTAATCCTCTCCGTGTTCCGTTCCCGGAGCTTCTCTCGCGTTCTCATTAATAACTCGACATCGAGCCTTAAATTATTTATTCTTTCAATATATTTTTTTAAATGCAGCTTTCCATCATTATAAACACAACAAGTTGGAAAAAATTAATTCGTAGCAGATTTTAAAATCAATTATAAAAATTTTAGGTTATAACTTATGAATACAAATTAATCTATTAAACGAACTTTAGAAGTGAAATCATTAGACATGTGGCAATCAGCTCTGACACGTTCAAAAGTTCAGGTCACAAAGACTTGGAGCGTTGAGTTGCGTCTACACAACTAAATTGGTAGCTCATGGCTCTATGTGAGTCGACAAGCCGCGAGCTTCCACTCTGAAACGCAGTTTGTAGAACGAAACGCAAATCACAAATATATGCAGATACAAATTGTGTTGCAAGACGGTTTATTGATTTACAATGTAAACCATGAGCTGATCTGCAGGTCATAAATTTGAGTTGAGTTACTTACTGGAAATAATGATAAAGTCTAGCATATTAAATCTTATTTTATGTTTAAAACAAAATACATTTTAAGTTTGTCTAATTAAAAAAGTTAGACGCGATCGTTTAATTAAAAGTAACGTTAGCTGTTTTAAAACTGGTTAATAAAGGTTTATGGTTAAAGTCTTAACTATCAACCTGCGCATTTAGTTTGCTGCATAATGTTTGATGCAGTTCATTAGATGGAAAATTACACCGTCTAATTTAACGTTTGAGAAGTTGATTTGTTCTTGAGAAAGTTATTTGTATTTATTGTTACAATAATAGCGTAACAACCGCTATAAAATAGTAGCGTTATAAACAGCTATTTTCCTAATAACAGTTATAGTTATCAATTATAAGATTACGATATTCTTTAAATTAATTTTTACGTGTATAGTCAACGTGATATTTGATGATTTGATTTGACATTTGTTTTATTTCTTTCAATGTTTTGTTAAACTTATAAGTGGGCCATTATAAGTCACATGTAAAAATTCAATAACGTAACTTTGTAACGTCGGGCATAGAATGTTATTTATTTTTTAAAGTTAGTACTACACAATTGCTTACATTTTTTAAAAATTTCGATTACATATTTAGTGTCAATCAAGGTCGTTACAATGTTGCGTCAGTGATTTTTTCGGTTCGCCTGCATAGTCGTAGTCTAAACTATCAAAGCAATGTTCTTAAAGTCTAACTTGTTTCAACCGGTTTTAATTAATCTTACTTTGTTCTGATTTAGTGAGGCGAATTGAGCTATACTGACGACAGATTCACAAATACAGCGATAAAGCAATTGCGACTAGCTCGGACAAATAAACAAATACTGTTTAAACAAGACCGTTTCTACTGAAATCGGATTAGATTGTTGACGAGCTTTGTGGCGAGTGTCATTTGTATTGAGATAGATGGAACATTGACATTTATTTGATTTTAGCAATTAGCACGTTATAACGGTTTTAACAGTTATTTTTTAAGTTATAACAGTTAATCGACATCAGTATCAATATTATGGCAACTATGAAAAAAAAACAAAAAAAAATATTTTACAAAACTATCAATTAATGTAACTATGTGTTGCATAATTTAAAAATGCTAAATTATAATGAAAAAATTGATTAAAACAATACATGTATTTGAAAATATCCGTTGTATAAATTCAAATACACCAATTTAAATGGTAGATTAAAATGAACGTAGCTTGTGAACTGACAGAGTATCATTTGGCGCGGAGCGGGATCGTTCTCATTCACTCAATTAAACGCTTCACTGCGTAATAAAATCTAATTGCCGTGCATATCAGATATTACATTCAATTACTCTTTTAGCTGTACGATATTTTCGATTTGTTCAACGACACGATCATTTGATCCACCTGATCACTATAAATGAATAGGTCGTCGTCATCAGCTCACTATACGTCCCCACTGAGGGGCTCGGAGCCTAACTTATGTTAGGTGTGACTAGACCAACCATGCTCGTCCAGTGCGGGTTGGTTGACTTTACACATATCTTTAAATTTCGCCGCAGATATGTGCAGATTGCATCACGATGTTTTCCTTCACCGTAAGAACCTCGCATAAATATACATAAGTAAATTTAAAATAGAAAAACACATTGGTACATGGTGGAATTCGAACCCAGGATCTGTAGATTACAAGTCAAGTGCTTAAACCCCTAAGCCACTGAGGTTCTAATGGATAGGTCATTACTTGGAAATAATAATTTTGTGTAAGAAATTTAATTTAAAACTCCAAGCTAATACTGTCCACATACAAAGGTATCACAAAACAATCGTCCATTATGAAACGCAGACCCACTACTACGATTTTCAAAGTAAAACTTCAGATATATATAAATAAGTTTCACTATAAACTAGATACGGTATATTTTTACATTAACCGATAATATTATAAGATAAATCCTTCAGAGTCTTGTCTCCTGGAATACTTAACTAGATCACTTGATAACTTACTTAATATTCTGCTTGAAGTAAGTTAGAAAGACGCGCGAATGTTTTATGATTAGTTTATCAGCTTTGATTTTTGTTTTGTAGAAACTTTCATAACATTTTATAACTGTAGTTAAAACTTTCATGTTGTAACGACATTATAGTTGCTTTGGTACTCGTAGGACCTCTTTATGGTACTCTTATACTTATAAGCGTAGTGTTTCATTGCCGCGAACACATATTTTACAGCTTACTGCAGTGTTTGTTTTGTCAAAGAGAAGGAATAGGATAACAATATGTAATGATACAATTGCGGCAATGGAGTTCTACTTTTATAGTGGTTTTGTCAGCCTCTCAGTGCGACAGGTAGAGCTCCGTTTTCTCCAATAGAGGGCACTGGTACTGTTACGATGTCTATTTAAAAACATAACGAATAAATGTTCAGTAAATAATTAAAATAATGAGTGGCACTATAAAGCGTCAGTGCGTCTTTTTGTCATGCCTAGAGAAGAACAATTTACAGGTTTGAAAGTATTGTAAGTGTAAGGGTTTGTATTTTTAGACATTATTAGAATCATTTAAAGCGAATGGCGCGCTTTCGTTATCATGTCAAGTGACAGAATGATTAGTGAGGGGACATAAACGTTGATATGATAAGGCTAGTGTTGTGCCGATAGACCGGCATAGTATCGGTTTTTCTTCCTAACAGTTTGATGTCCAATTCTTTTGTATCATAAACGGCTGAACCGATTTTGATATAATCTGTGTTAATGTTAACATAACACATTTTGAGCCACATAAATGTCATCAATTATTTATTTCTCAAATAATAAAACTTGTATATTTTCGCTGTGAATCGTCAAATAAATAAAACAAAATAAATGTCAGTACTCATCAATAAAACAACAAAAACCATGTCAACGAAATACAATGTTAAAGTTCAAACAAGCTCATCGATTGTTTTATTTGAAAACTAGAAATTTATTCGAACTACGGTAGATTTCTGAGCCCGATTCCACTTTAAAACATATTGTTATCTCTGTTTTGTCAAAGATGAAAGACAAGGATGACGATATATTTTATACTGATTTTTGGTGTCAGAAACCCACGGTAATATCAAACTAGAATCATCAATTATCTGAGCTATTAACACGTTAGCTGCCATGTCGGACTAT